AAAATTGACTAAATAAACTTTGAGGTTCTGTAACGTGGCTTTAATTCTTTTTGGTCAGCATCACACCTTTCATTCGCTACAAAGTTATCTCATAGAAAAAATAAAGGAGGAAAGGGAACCAAAGTGTAGACTGTTAATACAACCATTATACAACCATAACAAGCATTAATATAACAATATAAAAATATAAAGTCCTGAATGTAGCTAAAACGCGTTTCACTCTTGTAGAGCTTTTTAGCTACATTCAGGACTGTCTATCTTTATTTTTAGTCCTGAATGTGGTCAATTTTAATAACCATCTGTACTATATTGTGTCTATTTTATCTCCCATATGTACCACAAGTTTAAGATTTCTACAAGACCACATGGGGTAAGTTACGAATATATATGACATTAAATGCTTCATTTTCAGATACACTCCCAATTTAAAAATGCTTAATTTTAATTTAAATTACATTAATGTAAATAAAAAATTAAATGCATGCATGTTTTCATCTGAGGTACATCTACTAATTTGTTTCTGTTTTTTATTTGGGCATTGGAATGTTCCTTTAATACTACGTGTTAGAGGTAAAATAAATCAATTCAGAGACTGACTCATTAAGAGAACCTGTACCTTCTGTTATCTATCATCATTGATTGTTCACTTTGTGATTTCCATTTCGTTGAATACCGGTACTTTGTACCCTTCTTTGTATCCTTATACACACTATCAGTGTTTGGCTGATATTTGAATATGGCAGCGTAACGTTTATTGGCTATAACTGGTGAGTCTTTTCAGCAAAATATTAATGGGAGAGCTGCTGTGAGCCTGTAATTCTATTTAAACCACAGTATACATCCTATGATCTGCCTTGATAAAGTTTTTAGAACTTTAGCATAGGTTATATGCTATCTATCACTAGCCTACTCTGCTGTGGTACTTGTGTTCCTGGTGTGGTCATTTGAATTAATCATTGACTTTAACGCTCCAAGGAGTGAATACGTGTTGTGTTTTTTATACTTTTAGATGTTTCTGCTAATTAGTTTCTTTGTGTACTCTAACTACGTCTTTATCGGTCCACCCATTGTACATCGCTGTAGAATGTGTTGGTGCTCAATAAATAATAATAATAATCTGGAAAATGTTTACAAAGCAACTACACTCAACTTGTTTAGCCTAACTTTTTCAATTAAAATGTCCCTTTCCTGCAATGATTAAAATATATATATATATCTTTGAATGATCACAACCAACATAATTTGGTGACCCTTTCCTAAAGTGGTAACCATTAGCAACACTTTTACCTGCTCTCAGGGGCCTTTACAGGAGGTCTGCAATCAAAAGGTGAGCACTTGCTAATTATTTATGAAATATAAGTGATTCAGTTGCTTTTTGGGGGTCCAACTTTGTGCTTTAAAGCATCCCCACCGCCCAATACCCCTGATAAAGGCCAAAGTGATTATAATTATTATTTGTCACCTTTCTTTGATACTGCAGAATCACTTTATAGACCATGTTTACTATGGCAAATAGACTGTATATTGTAGTGGAAGCCTCGTCTATAAACCCGTTGGACATTACCTATTGCTTAAAATATATCTCAATTTGGTCAATGAATCCTGTTCATGTCACACATCACAGTTTTTATGTGTATATTCCAAAAAGAAGCATGGTTCTAATTGTTCCCATTATTTTTTCAGCAAAGAATATCCAGTGATTTCTAAAAGTATCATGAGGCAGCGGCTGATATCAAGTCATCCAGGGCAACTATCCAGCAAGTCAGATCTTAATGCACTCCACAGTAGCCACCAGGGTCTGCAGCATTATCAATATGAAAATGGTGCTCACATGCAGTTTGCAGCCTCTGATGCTCAAGATCTGCCTCTCAATACCTTTACAGCACAAAGGGACTCTGGACTATTTTATCATTGTCTGAAAAGAAGAGGTAATCTAGTAATGAATTCTATAGTTGCTTGTTATCCAGAACTTGCAGGATTAAAGGAACACTATAGGATCAGGAACACAAACATGGATTCCTGACCCTGTAGTGTTAAAAACACCAACTAGCTGCCCTGCCCTATCCCATTGCCACCCTAAATACAGTAAAATCTTACCTTTATTGCATTCTGTTGAGAACACTCAATGGCAGTGCGGCACCCCAGGAAGCACCTCCTGTGGACATCTGAGGAGTGGCCAGTGGCGTTATCACTAGGCTGTAATGTAAACACTGCCTTTTCTCTGAAAAAACTGTGTTTACTGCAAAAAGCTTGAAGGTGCTGATTATATTCACCAGAAAAAATACAAAAAGTTGTAGTTGTTCTGGTGACTATAGTGTTCTTTCATCCTAAACTGGGCTATGATACACACATCGCACATAATTTAGGTTTGAAAACCAAAAACCTCGTCCTCCAGCAGTTCTGGATTAAAATATATGATTCTCTGTTCAATTCACAACTATTTAATATGTATGTTTTACGAGGAATCTCAGGAGGCTATGCAGAGGTGAATGGTAATTATTTTTTTCTTAGTAAATACTGTGTGGGTCTGTTGGCATTTCAAAGGCAATATATTAAGTGATGACCTTTTATGGATTTAAAAATAATACTCTTTCCAAAGAAAGAACATGATGCACTGTGTTATAAAACGTGACAGATTTTTACTAAATAAAATATTCTGGAATGCTCTTGACTTTACCTAACAATAACTTATGACAGCTACATTCAACTAATTACAATGTAGTCCTGAAGGCATCAAGCTTGAGAAATGTTTTCTTTTGATATGAAGAGAGCATGGTCATTCACAGGAAACAGCTACCATTTATTTGCAGATTGTCCTTATTTCCCTAGTAGCAATTTTTTATTATGTCTAGATTTTATGAAATGTAATGTACTTATTTAAAAAAAATTTGTTTGCTTTTTTTTTTTTGTTCTCATACAGAAGGTGCTCGTCATCTTGAACTCCCTTGCAAACGATCTTATCTAGATCCTTCTTCTTCTATGGCAGATGATCACTATTTTAGATCCCCTCCACCATATGACCAACAAATGTTGAGTCCTCCTTATCGCAATGAGGTGACACCAAGAGAAGCATGCATGTACTCTACATCAGGAGCTGAGATAGGAGGAGTGTCAGGAGTTGAAGATCTGCCTCCTCCACCCCCTCCTCCGCTTAGCTGTAACATGTGGACTTCTGTTGCACCCTACACTAGTTACAGTGTTCAAACAATGGAAACTGTGCCATATCAGCCTTTTCCTACTCACTTTACCACCACAACGATGATGCCTCGTCTTCCCACAATCGCAGGACAAGCATCACAGGCACCGGGTGAATCCCATTTCAGTGTCTACAACCAGCTTTCACAGTCCCAAGCTCGAGAGAGGGTTCCTTCTACGTCCTTCCCTAGAGAAAGAGTCCATCCTTCCCTATGTGAAAGAAAGCCTCCATCTCCTCACACAGCCAATGAGTTTTTGTATTCACAAAGCTTTTCATTATCTAGGGAATCCTCCTTACAATATCATTCAGGAATGGGGACTGTGGAAAACTGGACTGATGGATGACTAATGATACCAAAGACATTATATGAACAATCACATTTATTATCTTAATACCTGTGGGTATCCTGCACTTCAGCAAGTCTTTCATCTGAGCTTGCTTGATATAGGGGAAATGGATTACTAACAGTAAAAAGACTTGTTCAAAATAAGCCATAACTGTGCCATTTACGGGGGTAAACAGAGATGGCTAAAGATGTTTTTCAATTACATTCTATTATGTAGGAGTCTAAACAAAATACAAAGTGGGAAATCACTACATCTTTGCATGCTGAATAGCTATTTATACATATGTATGTATATATATCTGTATATATATATATATATATATATATATATATTTATAAAAAGATATATATATATATATATATATATATATCACAACTGCTGGCCACGTGTTCAATGAAGCTTTGCTTTTAAAGATGAGATGCTTAATAAAAAAATAATGTTACCAGGATTTTTCATAGATCTATTTAATTTTTTATGGCATGTGTTGATGTACAAACAATATAATAATTGCATCAAGAAAAAATATCACTTATGTACATCAGAGTACACTTTATTAGATACTGAGTTAGAACCAAAGGACATGGACTTTCTTTTTATTACGCGATGTGGTAATTTTTACATATTTCAAAACTTACATTTTACTTCTTATGTAATGTCTCTGGTTTCTTTTCAGTAATAGATGTTAATGTGCAGAGCTATAAATATTTTACGTTGACATCAAGAATAATTTTGTCTTCCAATACTTCACTCTTTACTTCAATAAATCGTACATTTTCCCAGGATAGTATCCCAATTTTCAGATGTTTTCTCAGTCTGGGACAGCTTATTATACAGTACATGTATTTATTTTCAATAGAAATACAAGGAATAGTCAGCCCATGTGAGTTTATCATAATGATATTGGTCCTCAAATATTTGGCTTCTAAACATTTGATGCTGACCTGTATCATTGAATTAGAATTATTAGTCTTTATATAGACAATGTAGGTTGTTAAAAGGTCTAATCCCAAAGTTGAACAGACAGTAATTTTAATTAACAAAAAATTCTTCCTGGTTCTGATGTTGAAAATTAATAACTTGTAGAAAGATATGAATGTAATTTGTAGCTAAAATATAATGTAGTATTGTGTTTAATTCATGTTACATTAATATGTAATACATATAATATTTTCAATTCAGTTTTCAATGCTATCATCCATCTATCTATCTATCTATCTATCTTTCTATCTATCCATCATCTATCTGTCTATCTTTCTGTCTGATGCACAAGTGGTGCATGTGAGTAGTGTAAAATCATTACTCATCTCTACAGACTCATGCACATCCTTTAATAGCATTAATTTCTCCTTTCATATCCAGGGGGTTCCCTCCTTGGGTCCACCACATATTATCTGTTGCGTTCCCCACTTCATTACACTGCAGTAGTGCATCAGCTTCTATATCTTTCAACCAAAAGCGTCAAAACGGTAGGCCACCAGCTGTTGCGAGATTATTTTCTGTCCTCTCTGTCTTTATTTACTACCTTCCTTTCTTTATGTTTAATTTGTAACAGGCCCTAATACCTCTCCATTTACCCTTCTGTCCCCCTGGATCTACTGCAACGGATATAATATATATTGGGAGGGGTAGATAAACAAGTCTGAGTAGTAAAACCAAGATATTGGGGATGACACGTTCCACTTCAGAGAGATTCACAAAGTCAGTTTATATATTGCCCTAACAAAATTAAAAAAAAATATGTAGATAAAAATGTCCACCTTCTTGAAGTTTATAAAAACATAATATAGTAAATGTCACTGTGAAAAGGACTTTCATAGAGGTTTTCTGATTGTGTATTTGAGAATTTACTTAAACCCAGAGCAATAGTGAGTATCTAATGAAATTAGCATCAATTTGTAAAGGATGTCCATGTTATAATGTAGTTATCACCCCATTTATAACCACAGTAGGTGCAGCCATCAACCATTCTTTAACCATAGTAACAAATATATACATAGGAATAATAAGGAATAATAATAAGAATATCTACTCAAAGATATAAGGGTATCTAATGCATGTACTATATAGTATCAACTTTTGGAGTAGCAAAGAGTTTAAGTTCCAAATAAGTGCTTCTTTGATGGTATTTAGATATAACAAATATGGTATCAACATGGCCTTGGTCTTGTTTTTATGTGAAATATATACCTATTAAGGAGTCATATCCAAGTTGCTCACAAAATCAGGAGTAAATATTGAGCAAGGGAAACTGCAGGGGCATGATCTACAGTTGTGCTCAAAAGTTTGCATACCCAGGCAGAAATTGTGAAACTTTGGCATTGATTTTGAAAATATGACTGATCATGCAAAAAACATTATTTAATTGAATGTTGATTATATGAAGCCATTTATTATCACATAGTTGTTTGGCTCCTTTTTAAATCATGATGATAACAGAAATCACTGAAATGGCCCTGATCGAAAGTTTACATACTCTTGAATATTTGGCCTTGTTACAGACACACAAGGTGACACACAGGTTAAAATGGCAATTACAGGTTAATTTCCCACACCTGTGGCTTTTTAAATTGTAATTAGTGTCCGTATATAAATAGTCAATGAGTTTGTTAGCTCTCACATGGATGCACTGAGCAGGCTAGATACTGAGGAGCAGAAAAGATACATGGGGAGCAGAAAAGATACATGAGGAGCAGAAAAGAACTGTCAAAAGACCTGTGTAACAAGGTAATGAAACTTTACAAAGATGAAAAAGGATATAAAACTATATCCAAAGCCTTGAAAATGCCAGTCAGTACTGTTCAATTACTTATTAAGAAGTTGAACATTTGGGGATCTCTTGCTACCAAGCCAAGGTCCGGTAGACCAAGAAAGATTTCAGCCACAACTACCAGAAGAATTGTTCGGGATCCAAAGAAAAACCCATAGGTAACCTCAGGAGAAAAACAGGCTGCTCTGGAAAAAGATGGTGTGGTTGTTTCAAGGAGCACAATACAACGATGAGCTGCATGGCCGAGTTGCCAGAAAGAAGACTTTACTGCACCAATGCCACAAGCAAGCCTGGTTACAATATGCCCAACAAAACCTTAATGTGCCTCAAAGCTTCTGGCACACTGAAATTTGGAGTGATGACACCAAAATAGAACTTTATGTTCACAACCATAAGCGCTATGTTTGGAGAGGTGTCAACAAGGCCTATAGTGAAAAGAATACCATCCCCTCTGTGATGCATGGTGGTGGCTCACTGATGTTTTGTGGGGGTGTTAGTTCTAAAGGCACTGGGAATCTCTTTTGATTGATGGCACGATGAATGCAACATGTTATCAGAAAATACTGGCTGACAATTTGCATTCTTCTGCACGAAGGCTGAGCATGGGACGCTCTTGGACTTTACAGCATGACAATGACCCTAAGCAAAAGGACAAGTTGAGCCTCCATTGGTTATAGCAGAAAAAGGTGAAAGTTCTGGAGTGACAATCACAGTCTCCTGACCTTAATACCATCAAGACACTCTGGGGAGATCTCAAACGTGCTGTTCATACAAGACGACCAAAGACTTTCCATATCCTGGAGGCACTTTGTCAAGACGAATGGGTAGGTATACCACCTGCAAGAACTAAGGGCCTCATAGACACCTTTTACAAAAGACTGCATGCCGTCATTGATGCTAAAGGGGGCAATACACAATATTAAGAACTAAGGGTATGCAGACTTTTGAACAGGGGTCATTTCATTTTTTTCTTTGTTGCCATGTTTTGTTTTATGATTGTGCCATTCTGTTATAACCTACAGTTGAATATGAATAAGAAATAAAAGAAATGGTTGTTGCCTGCTCATTTATGTTTTCTTTGAAACTGGTACATATATTACTAATTCTCCAAGGGTATGCAAACTTTTGAGCACAACTGTATACACTAAAACTGCGCCACAAAGCTAAAGTTGTTTTGGTGCCTATAGTGTACCTCTAAAGGCATAATTTCTAATGAGACAGAAGAGGTGTACTTACAATCTCTATAGACAAATGAATGCTAATAGAGCTCACATGGGGTAGGTGGCTGTGCTGTAAATGGTTGTGTAATACAAAGGCCAATAAAACCATGGAAATTAGCCCTGCGCTCAATATACCACTGCCCTGGGGCATCAGAAATGGGTTTAATGTTTATAAGTCAAAACATAAAAAATCTGTATTATGTAAGGGTTTTTAAGTGTATGTATCTTTAAAGAATTCTATGAGCGTGATGAAAAACTATTTGTGTGCCATATAATATAAGTCCAGATGTTATGTAGATCTGCTCTATAAATTGCTTTACATCTTTGTAATTTCATTACAAGATTCCAGGAATGTTAACCAGTTCTGGTTTCTTAGCAATAAAATTGGTAATCAATTTAAATATTTTTTGGGGGAAATTCCACTAGGTCTTTCCTTAAAGGGACACAACAGTCAACAAAACAACTTCAGCTAAATAAAGCAGTTTTAGTGTATAGCTCATACCCCTGTAGTGTCACTGCACAGTTCTTTGCCATTTAGGAGTTAAATCACTTTGTTTATGTAACCCTTGACACCCTCCCTGAAGTAACGTGCACAGCTTTCCTTTACACTTCCTGCAAAGTGGGATCTAATGTTTGCATTTCCTTTACCTCAAATTCTGTTCAGTTTAGATATTTTTATCTCCTGCTCTGTTAACAGCTTGCTAGACCTTGTAGGAGCCTCATGTATGTGTTAAACTTCAATTTACAGAGCAGGGTATAAAAACTTCTAAAGTAAGTTAACATCTGATCGAAAAATTAAACCGTTAACATCTGATCGAAAAATTAAACCATTTTGTTCGTGCAGAATGTGAGTCACAGCCAGGGGAAGTGTTGCAAGGCCAGCATAAATAGAAACAAAAGTGATTTAGCAACTGAATGACAAATAATTGAGCAGTTAAACTGCAAAGGAATGATCTATACACAAAACTGCTTTGTTTCTCTGGTGACTATAGTGTCCCTTTAAGCTACTAATTGGAGCTCTACATCTGGCTTACTTTTTGGCAGAGATTCACTTCAGTGTAGGGTAGGAGAGTATGAACTGAGTTTTCAATAAAATATTGAGCTTCAGTTTGCTTCATTTCTATTTACAAAAAAAGCTTTTTATTCTAACAAAGATTCTCTATAGTACTCCTTATTAACACAAACAATTTTTTTTATCTTTATGAGAAAAATGTTCCTATTACAGCATTTACATTTAGGCAATACAAGGTTACATGACCTGAATTTTAGTTGTGGGTTTTGTTATTAATTAATATTCAAATATGAAATTACAAAGAACTGTCTGTATATAAGATGAATCCCCTGTCATCACATGATCATAGAAAGGATGGACTGTATTATAGACAGAAGATGTAATCAAACCACACACTAAGTCCACTACTATATTATCCAATACTTTAGTATCGTTTCTTGGGAACACATGTTGCACTGCTTCTTGCTTAACTGTGGTCAAATTGTTACAAGTTGTCATGGGATCAGTGAAATTATATTAAACAAATGCATGTTATATTACTAGCTTAGTGCTCTTTTCCCATGTTTTTTAGAGTTTAAGATAGGATGGAGTGAATTAAATAACAATAAGCGAAGAGCTGCACAGTTTCCCATTGTACATGTACCTGGTAAATCAGTCATGTGATTTTAAGGTAACATGTTTATAAATTAACTCAACCATGTGATGAAAATCCTTACGGTTCATCATATTCACCATTCACTAAGGAAGTTATGACTGTTTTGTTCCCATTGGACAGTAGTTGTCTGTTGGCACATATATAGATGTGCATGTACATATTTATTTCAATCTCCTATAAACACAATACAATTAGTTGTACACATTCAGCAATACACACGTATAAAGTAAAACAGTTATCAGATATAGAGTAGATTTCAATATCACATTTAATAATTATTTACATGCTAATGACTGCCAATCCCACCATTAAGTTCCAATTATCAGTTCTGGGAAAAAGGGCCTTATTTAAACACTCATGTTTTGGCGACCACAATCCCTATGAAAAATAGTTAATGACACGTTAATGCAGCCATCAGACACTTGTGAATTCAATACCTAAAGGAATTTAGAAAGCCATATTTTTTTCTAACAATTATTTAACATCCAAAATGTTCTTAAGTTTGAGTATGAACAAAGTTAACGCCACAAACACCTTACTTAATGACGTGTGCAACTAACCTTAACTAACAATTCCTTGTTAATCAATTAAACCAATTAATTAATACATAAGCACTGCAACAACAATATAACATATCCTTCTAAAGTCAAGTTTGAGCAAAGAGGGTCACCATAGAGTTCAGAGTACTAGTCTGTGTAAGCAAAAGTGAACAATGACTGGCACAATGATTGGTGATTGGCTTCTAATACATATGTCAAGCAAAATGTTACACTCCAACCCATTAGGAATGGGCCTCACCAAATGATATTTAGTAGATATGGGTAAAGAGCTGTCTTCATAGACCCAAGGCATTATTGTACCACTCAATAAACTTTCCATCACAGGTTAAAGTCTTCTCCTGCAGTGTAAACTGACAATGGTCCTTCTTACAGATTTGGATTTTTTTTTTTTTAAACTTTTGTTTATAACAGTCTCCTGTGGAATTGATCTATGATTATTAGTATAAAATTAAACACCTGTTGGAATTGATAAGCATGTTTCTGTGGAATACCTGTTATAAAAGAGAATTGTCTACCCATCCTATTAATGTAACTACCAAGGGGTATATTGCAAAATTGCATATGGGTGGTAGTAAGTAAATCTGTGGATGGATGGGATTGAGGGACCCTATGAATTATATAATTTTGAGACATACGGGTCCTGAGTAATTACATTACCACTTACGCATCTGTAGGGCTCCCAGTGCCAGGACTGCCACCACAACTACTTACACATCGGTAGGGCTCCCAGTGCCAGGATTGCCACCACAACCACTTACACATCTATAGGGCTCTCGCCTCCCAGTGGCAGGACTGCCACCACAACCACTTACACATATATAGGCCTCCAGTGCCCTTACTGCCACCACAACAACTTGCACATCTATAGGGCTCCCGTCTCCCTGTGCCCTAACTGCCACCACAACCACTTACACATCTATAGGGCTCCTGCGTCCCAGTGCTAGGACTGCCACCACAACCACTTAGTAGACATGTGCAATTTGTTTCATGCAATTCAGACATTCAGATGCTTCCGAAGTTCCGAAGTGCCAAATTACCGAAGTTCCGAATTGCCGAAGTTCGGTAGTTCGGAAGTACCGAACCAAACCGAATCCTTTTAGTCCGAATTGCTGAAGCAGACAAAATTTTTTACTTACCCGAATTTCCGAACTAATCCGAACCAAATTTTTTGCCCATGCACATCCCTAGTGGGGGGAATAAATTGTAATATATTTTAATTTAAAAAAATAATAATAATCCCCCACAAAATACAGATTCAATTTTATGGCAAGACAGGAGGCTTCATATTTGCTTTACTTCCTTTACTGTTCCTCCCAGCAGCAAAGAAACAGTTAACAGATTGAAAAAAGAAACAACCAACCAGAACACATCTAGACAGTAATAAGTGGCTGTGAAACTCCTCCCAATTCCTCTTTCTTTGCTGCTTGCCTCCCAGGTGAGTCAATTCTGATTACAGACTTTTATAGAATATTTTATAAAGTGTTCTAAATATATATTTATTTATAATTGTCCATTATATTTTTTTGTCATAACTTTGCTATATTGCATTTATATTCTTCCTCCTTTGGATTTTATCTATCCTCTTTATCAACCCCTTTGTTTTTTTCTAACTCCTGGGGCCCACAGGACATTTGCCTCTCACTGTGGCACTCAGCACCCCTTGGGAGTTCCCACCGAGGGTTTATTCCCCTGTTACACCACCTACGGCGTTTTTCCGACGACCGCGATCTAACCGCGGCTTTGTTTACTTTTTTCCCTGCTCGTTTTAGCCGCGTCCGGTCAGCGGCTTCCCTGTACCGTTTTTTCCTGCACTTTTCTACGACGCGCACAGGCTCCGCCTCCGCACTAGCCGGCGGCCATTTTCAGTGTGCGGCAGTTTACCTCACTAACGGTTCTCTGCCTGTCAGCTCTTACATAGTGATCTCGCTTTTCGGATTTAAAGGTGTAGCTCCACTTTTCTTTGCAAGCCAGTTCCAAGGTAAGTACTTTTATTTATATATCCTATACACACATATTATTTGTTTTATTTTTACTTGATTCTAAAAATCCCCTATTTTGCCTCACAACAGGTTCAGTTCACACAAACTTTAAAGTATGTTTTTCCTGCCATCACCAACATCTAAGCCAAACATTATCTGCCACAAGTGTGATCCCCTTGATAATAACAGGTGACCCCTGTTTTGTGGTTACAGCGGTACTTTAAGGGCTTCATCTGCTAACTAGCTTTCCATTAACTTGTGTATCAGTGACATTGCAGTGGGTGGCCCCACTTTTTCTTTTGCATCTTGGATAACCCCCATTTGCCTTTTTGGGTGAACCCCTGCTACATCCTCACAGGGTGACCCCCTGTCTTACAATTTAAAATTTTAATGTATTATTTTGTGTTTAAAGTTTGTTCAGTTTACCATTAACATAATGTCTGAACAACTGAACCTCACTGTTTCTGCTGAATTAAAATCCTGGCTATTCTTAGCAATAGCGGAAACCATGCCTAAAGCTATTGCGGCTTATCATGAACAAGCTAAACCTGCTCCAAGGCCAAACACTGCCTTAAATATTTCCGACTCAGAAGAGTCTCACGATTCCGACCATGACGGGGCTCCATGCAAGCGTCCCTGGAAGGGCAACAGTGTCTCCGCCGGCAAAGGCAAGACACCTGCCAAAATTCCTAGACTGTTGCTTCCCTCCTCAAGCCTTCCCATATGGGATCCCTTAGAGGGTTCCACAGCACACGACCTACAGTTCGTGGAGGAGTACTGTGCAGGGTACTTGGACGAAGAAGACCATGCTAATACCCCGTATGTCAGGGAATCCTTCATCGCCACACCCCCGGTCCGCTGAATGGGCACCACCTAGCCATATAGCCCAATTCTGTAGAATGTGGCTCCGAAAAATTCTAGAGAAAGAGATCAGTAACAAGTTACGGGCTGAATGCCCCCAACCTACAATTCCAGACAAGGTCGCTCTGAGTTTGATCCCCTCCTCATTACCTTCCTTAGCAAGTCAGGGAAAGACCCCCGCAAAGGCCTAGAACAGGGCCTCAAAACAGTCCAGGACAAATTATTTATTGCTGGCCCCATTATCCAGATTTTTATCTTGGCAGATGAAGCCATTGTTGAAGGTACCTTAGACCCACACTTGGTATGGGAATGGGCCCAAAGAGCCCTGTATCTCCTGGGGAATGCTAACGTGGCTATGTCCACTGAAAGAAGGAAAGCTGCGCTATATAAAATAGACGCAAAATTGGCAGATTTGGGTTCCAAAGAACTCGGCCCAGAGGCCAACAGCCTATTATTTGAGGACCAGTTCATGCGGGACCTCAACAGACACGTATCTGTATTCACCTCTCTGAACAAGGCTCAGACCTCCCTTCGTAGGGTGTTTCGGTCCAACAGTTTTTCTGGAAGAGCCGGTCGCCATTGAGGCCGAGCAACCGGCAGGTCTGCCTTCAACGGCTACAGGCCTCGACCAAGTGAACCTTGGAACTCTGGTTATGCCCGTCCCTATCATAGACAACTGTTTACCAACAAAGGATCAATCAGAGGACGTGGCTCTGCTTCTCTCCGGGGTCGATCTGCTCAAGGTAATGCACCTACCTCATTCTCTAGTACATATTGCAGGCCGTTTAAGTTGTTTTTTCCCACAGTGGTCTCTCCTCACTCAGGATCCTTGGATCCTTCAGACTGTTTCAGGTTTTCTCATGGATTTCGTCACCGATCCCATACAGGAACTCTGCAAACTCAGAGACAAGGGCACAATCGAACCCTCTTCTTCCCCCCCAGACTTGTCAGCAACATCTTTCTGGTTCGAAAAAAGTCAAACGACTTTTGCCCCATCATCAATCTGAGAGGTCTAAACCAATTCATTGTGTACAGGCACTTCAAAATGGAGGGCATACACCTATTCCAAGACCTACTTTGCGAGGGAGATTGGTTCTCCCGTTTCGACCTCAGAGATGTGTACCTTACGGTACCTGTTGCAGCCTGTCACCGCCCTTTTCTCTAATTCATATGGTCTCAAGAGCTTTGGCAATTTACTTGCCTCCCTTTTGGTCTCTCGTCCGCCCCTTGGTGTTTCACCAAGTTAATGAAGCCAGTTATGGCTCTTCTCCGGTCCCAAGGTATCCGGTCCATCATCTACCTAGATGATATATTGATCATGGCACAAGACCCCCATATGCTTCGGAAGCATACAACTATGACCAAATGCCTCCTACAAAACCTTGGTTTTGTGAACAATTTGGAAAAATCCTCTCTAATACCATCACAGTCCATCCATTTTCTGGGTTTCCAGATCCACTCCATTCGATCTATTATCCAACTCCCACTCGCAAAAATAAAAGCCATCAAGAAGGACATTCAAAAGCTATTGCCCTCTCATCAGGTATGCCTGACACGGATAATAGGACTCCTGTCTGCATCCATTCAGGCTATCTTCCCCGGCCCCTTACACTACAGGGCGATGTAACGTCTCAAGATGTGGTATCTGTGCAGATCCCATTCCTACGACCAACCTATATTCCTTACGGAGGAAGTTCGTCTAGAGTTAGATTGGTGGCTCCAGAATATGGAAGCCTGGAATGGGAAAGCGATCTTCAGTCGCCAACCGGATTTCGTTCTAGAGTCCGATGCCAGCCTCCTAGGTTGGGGAGCCACCTGCTTTGGCCTCTCCACGAGGGGTCTCTGGACACAGTCAGAACGATCCATGTAAATCAAATGCTTAGAGCTGATGGCCGGTGCCTTTGCGATTCACAGTTTCTCCAAAGACGCTTACAACTGCTCTTTAATTATGAGAAGGGACAATGTTTCCACTGTCCGTTATGTCAATCGTCTTGGAGGCTCCTGCTCCAAGCTCCTGTCAGACCTTACCAGGGAACTCTACCAGTTCTGCCTAGGGAGAAATATCTCTCTTCAAGTGGAATACCTACCCGGGTCGGACAACCTCGTAGCGGACTGGTTCTCCTGTCACTGGAGGGACGCCAGTGATTGGCAACTGGATCCGAATGTCTTCTACCAGCTACATCACCTTCGCGGGCCCATCACGTTGGACCTCTTTGCTTCCAGACCGAACCGTCAGACAGACGCGTTCTTCAGCTGGCTACCGGACCCACTATCTCAAGCTGTCGATGCCTTTCTACAACCCTGGCCATCGTCAGGACCGTTCTCCATGATCCCTCGCACTCTACACCGTCTCAGGGTTCTGGGAGTCACGATCCTGTTAATAACTCCCCTCTGGAGAGCCCAACCCTGGTACCCCAACCTCTTAGAGATGTCCGCAGACTACCCTCTGCTTTTACCTCTCACCCCAGACCTTCTCCGAAACCCTTTTGGAGCGTATCATGCCCTCGCCATCCAGGGACACCTCCAGCTGGTGGCCTGGACCGTTTCAGGGGATCCTGGTTCATCTCGGGCCTTTTAGGCTCAGCTCACAACCTCCTCTGGGACTCATTGGCCACAGGTACCCGCAAATTCTATCTTTCGGCATGGTCAGCCTGGGCTCGCTGGTGTTTGGAAAGGGATATTGATCCCTTTTCAACGACTCTGGTGTATATCATGAATTTTCTGTCCTCTCTCTTTGACAGTGGCAAATCTTATTGCACTATAAATCTCTTCCGCTCTGCGTATTGCCCGTTGTTTACAATGGTACGTCACCATTACCACTCCCCTTCGGCCTCCGTCGGGACCTCTTTTTGTGTCCTATGTTCGTCCTCCCCGCCCGGTGTCTTGTCCCACCATTGCTTGGTGGATCAGGTGGCTCCTCCATCTTGCGGGCGTGGAGCCACCCTTTGGAGCTCACTCAGTAAGGGGTGCGGCCGCATCCTCTGCCTTTGTCGCTGGGAGTTCCCTTTCGGATATTTTGACCTTGGCAGATTGGTCAAGGGAATCTACCTTTTGTACTTTTTATTTCAGGCCTCAATCTCATCCTGGTTTTCATTTACTCTCTGGGTGTTAAAACAGCAAATATGAAGCCTCCTGTCTTGCCATAAAATTAGAGATTATTCTAGCGTCAGTGACCTAATAATCTAAATTTTATTAAAGACAGGAGGCGAATATTTCCCACCCTACATACACTTGGGTATTTCGCACGTCGCCCTCCCTTTTTCCTTCCAGAATGGGATATGCAGGTAGGGTGTTCATACTGCTGTAGCTTTGTTCATAAGCTTATTCTTTCATTCATATAAATATGACTATGTATATATGTAATATTCCAGAAGCTTCTTTTTTTGAGTTATTTTAAAACTAGGCATTTGTATGTAGGCACCCTGCCAATCACACCATACTTTCACAAGTTTTCTCTTCTTTTCTAGTGTGAAATGGCCTTCACCTCTCTGCATGACGACATCATTGAGGATCTGTTGTCTCAACTTCCAGTTCGTTTACACGGTTGATCTCGCTTGTTTGAAGATTATTTGTTTCAGTTTACATGGTTGACATCACTCCGGCTGCATCAAGAAAGAGGAATTGGGAGGAGTTTCACAGCCACTTATTACTGACTAGATGTGTTCTGATTGGTTGTTTCTTTTTTCAATTTGTTAACTGTTTCTTTGCTGCTGGGAGGAACAGTAAAGGAAGTAAAGCAAATATTCGCCTCCTGTCTTTAATAAAATTTAGATTATTAGGTCACTGACGCTAGAATAATCTTTAATTCCACCACACAGATTCAGATTCAGATAAAGCCACTGTACACCCACTACATCTCAATCACATACACACTTTATTCACACACTTTTCCCTTGTAGACACACACTGCATCCGCTAATCATACTGGATTCCCTATAAGCACACACACACATTACATTCCCTATATACACTGCATGCCCTACACAAAGCAATCCTTACACACACCACTGTATTCACTATACCCACGCTCACTACACACACATATACTGCAATCCCTACACATAAGCTGGATTCTACTGTAATAATTCTGGTAAAGTTTATTTTATTCTTCTCTTCGAAAGCTCTACTTATGTTATATTCCAGTGTGTCATATGTATCTCCCAAAAATATGCTATTATCACTTAATTGTATTAATAATAAAAAAAAAAAAAAAACAAAGCTTAATATTTAGAATGTTATAAATACATTTGAAATGAAACAGTAATTTGTAGGATGTTTTTCACAGTCAGTAGCTAGTTAAATGTTAACCATCAGATGTACTCTTGAGAATTTTTTTTTTTTATATATATACATGAGCACACTTGCAAATGCATAGCACCTTCTAAACAGCTGCAGGAGCTCACCTATAGCATTACAGAAAATGTGGTACCTGGAAGCAAAGGTGCTGTAGATGTAAGTTTGTTTTATACTAGCCTAGCCTGCACTTCTCATCCCAGGAAATGCTTTAACAGCATTTATCATAAAACAAATATTATTAACTGTTACCATCAAAAAGTCTTTAAAGGATCACTATAGGGTCAGTAACACAAACATGTATTCCTGACCCTATAGTGAAAACCCACCATTTAGGTGGCTTGCCCCCCCCCCTCCCCCTTCAGAATGGGTTAAAACTCACCTTATTTTCAGCTCTCCATGGGTTCGCCAGCGCTGGCCCCTCCCCCTTGGTGACATCATCAGAATTGACGATTTTTAGCCAACCCAATGCTTTCCCATGTGGAGACGGGTCCAAGGAGACGGGTCCAAACGCCATTTTGGCCAATCAGCACCTCCTCATAGACATGCATTGAATCAATGCATCTCTATGCGGAAAATTCAGCATCCCCATGCAGAACCTGAGACAGGAAGCACCTCCAGTGGCCATCTGAGTAGTGGCCACTTGGAGGTGTCCCTAGGGGCAATGTAAACACATGAAAATGCCTGAAGGGATTGATTATACTCACCAGAACAACTACATTAAGCTGTAAATTGTAAATGTTAGCAGTCTTTGAAATATAATGCTATACATGCCCTTCTTTGTTCTTTGTTAATTTGTTAAATGTGTCTTTATACGATATTACTCCTACAATGCTTATGTTAGCTATACAGTGAATTGTGGTTACTTTCTGATGGAATTGTGTAATGTAGGCCATTATAGCGGAGAAGGAAAGATTGTTGAGTTGGAAAAATGTACTTCTTTACTTCTTTTTAACCTATAATTTATAATCCCCTTGTCAATCCACAGTTTACACAACAAACTCCCATGCAATGCAAATGTCTCCCTCACTTTAAGGAACCCCATATCTTATGAAATATTTATTCCATTCTACTTTGTTAGTTTTTAATGGCAACCATCAGTTTGTTCTTTGAGTACATATGCAAGCCATTATTGTATTTACTCCCTGCAATGGGTTTAAACCAGATCTGAGCAGCTGTGCGTTTCTGCCATTTTGTGTCCTTTTGTTTTGTAAAACAATTCAGTAACATTCAATAAAACCCTGTGAAGTCACGTACACTACATTATTTCAGGTCCAGAGAGAATTTTAGTCAACTTTCCAAAAGTCCCACACAGCTTTAAAAAGTAGGTAATTCAAAGAAAGACACGGGTGGAAAAAAAATTAAAATAAATCCCAGAACAAACACAGCTTGGAAAAACTAACAAGTTAAAAATAGTGCGTAGACTTTTTAAACTCCACAGTACAAAAATAATTTCATGTCCTGTAGATAAGATCTCAAGTGTGAAAGTACATCAAATATATCTTCTTGATATATGTTAACATAACAGCAGCCATTATATAGGATATCTTGCAAGGTATAAAATACTTGAGAATGTTGTACAAGAGTAATAAGGGCCTTATTTTTAATGGTGAACTGCACAGTTTCATTTGTCAAAATGACACTACATCAACAGCCGACTAGACGGCTGCTGCCAACCTCCTCCCAACAATTTATGGGATCTTAGTCTACAATCCAAGTTCTTATGTGTAGTGAGGATTTTGGCTTATGCTGTTAAACTACTAATGTGATTTTTTTTTGCTTTTTCTTTTTTATGTTTCTGTGTCAGTTTCATAGGTTGCATTTACAGAGCGCCTCACATTAACATTTCACAGCTCTTGAAAAGCTCTAGAAAATGTTCAGCTGAATGCGAGATGCTGCCCAGACCAAAATACCGTAATGTTTACAAACCGACTAGGATATGGACATTTTGTAGAACAACATTAGAGTAATTGTGAGGTCAATAGACTGACATTTTAAAATTCCTATACACATGCTTATTTATTTTAATCAATTATTATACAGCAGAATCGCTGCTGACTTAAACTCTTTAGGAGAATTAACCCAATGGTTCCATTTATCCTCTTACCTGATGTATAGTGGTGAGAGGTTAAACTATATAGCAGAGGCGACCATTATTCCAAAACTTAGAGGGCAGCATGGTGTGGTCTATGCCACATGCTTTTTCTCCACTTGTTTTAGGTCAGCTTTTATATAAAAAGTACAAGGGACCTCCTACTTCACCATGTCAGCTGGTTGTGTAGATCTGCAGTGCAAAGAGTTGTCATTGCAGCCATTAAGCTCTTTTTTTCACTGTCTGGTCTCTCCTGTTTAACCCCTCTTTTGCAAAGACGGTTTATCATGTCATGATTGCCCAGCCTGTCCTTCAAATCAATATTTCTTTTATTATTATGACAGAAGGACAAATCAACAACAAGCAAAAAGAAAAAATAACTAAATTCATATAACGTCAGATGGCTGTCATCCAATTATTTTCATGTTTTTTTTTCTTCCTACTCTTCCTACTTACCAAGAGATGTCTAGAGAATATATATCTCCTTACGCCTTCCATTTTACATACAAATCTGTATATTTCTAAGTTTGTTTTTCTCAGAGACATGTGACTAAAATCCAAGTCAAGAAGAGTATTACTTCATTATTTGTGGCAAAATTGGGAATCATTTCTAATTGGGGTTTCCAGCTACCTTTTCGATCAACAGCAGAGATGAAAGGTTAAATTTTATAGACCTGGATCTTTTTTAAACTCTAACATGTACCTATATCACTGACTACATGTTTCCCCCCTCTATTTTAGGGTACTGTGCTTTTTGTTTTTTTTATTTATTGTTGAATGTAAAGTAACTTAAGATTCCCCTTAGATTGTCGATAGGGTAGCTTTGTATGGTGGATGTTGTTCATGGGTATCTAGCAATCTATTTTTGGCAGTTAAAGGGGCAAGTGCCTTCCTGGCCCTTGGTTAAAAGGACACTGTAGTCACCAAAACAACTTATGCTTAATCAATCAGTTTTGGTGTATAGATCATGCCTCTGAAGTATCGCTGCTCAATTCTCTGCCATTTAGGAGTTAAATCACATGTGTTTCTACTTATCCAGCCCTATCATATATCAGATGTCAACTTGCTTTAGATGTTTTTATCTTCTGCTCTGTAAATTGAACTTTATTATTATTTTTTTAAATATATTTCTCTTTATTCACATTTTTCTCTTAACCCCTTAAGGATGCAGCTTCAGAAGCTATTTTGCATTTTTTGCTGTTTGAGTTCAACTGCAATTTGCATCTCTCTCGTTTAGTGCATCAACACATATTATATAACGTTTTTTAAAGGACAAAATGGGCTTCAATTTGATGTGACATATACATATATAAAATATATTTTTTTATTTTAAAAAAATGTAAAATTAAAAAAACATTTCAAAAATATTTTTTTTCACAGTTTTGGCAATAACAGTGTGTGCAAAATATGTCAAGCTTAGGAAAAGTAATTCAAAATAAATTCATTTATGTGTCTTGTTTTTCAAAGTACATAATGTGTATTGGATTTCAGCTTATTTTAAAAGTTACAGGTCACAAAATACAAGGAGTAATATAAAATGTCAATGTGAAACAAATTTAGAAGTTGGTATGTTTGACATGTAAGTTTAACAGCCGTCACAGAAAACAAAATTGCTACACAAAAGTATATGTTTATATAAAGTAGACATCACAGGCTATTTATCTAAGGGTATTTTGACATTTTTTTCATAGCCATTTCCCCACCAATCTCTGCTAAATATTGTAGTAAAATTGTGGGGGGTTTTCTGTTTTTTGAAATACACACATATAACAAGATTTTTGAATGTGCATTTTGTAAACCTGCTGTGTGCTATTCCTGGTCAAAATCCCATATTGTGTTCAGCAACATCTGCTGAGTATAACGATATCTACAATAAAATATAAGAGGCAAAAATATTTCAGTTTCCACAGTTAGAAAATTCAAAGATGGATTTGATGGACCTATGTCTTATTTTGGAGCATTATAGTAGTTTGGTTGTTCAAATGACCACACAAAGGCCTTCCATTCATGAAAGTAGACACTCCAGGGTATCTCATATGGCATATATTGTGCCTTAAGATGTCACCATTTTTTCACCATTATATGTCAAAGTTTGTAGTAAAAAAATATTTTTCGCATTTTTCTACTTAAGCATTACATGTGTGCTGGGCATTATGTAAATTTGATATGTTCCACTATGATCAAACACCCTAATTATGTTCAGCTAACTCTTCTGAGTAAAACAATACCCCCAACGTATGCCTTTGACACTATTTTTGTGATGCTACAGTGCCATATAGGAGAACTGACCATTTCAGTTTTTAGAGTAGAATTTTGAGAGACGGATTTGCAGGGCCTATGTTTTAATTTGCAGCATTATAGCAGTTTGACTGTTTCAATAACCGCACAAAGGCCTACCATTTGTGAAAGTAGAGACTCCAGGGTATCTCATATGGCATATATTGTGCCTTAAAATGTTGCCATTTTTTCACCATTACATGTCAAAGTTTGTGGTAAAAAAATATTTTTCTGACTTTAACTTATGCATTACATTTGTGCTGGGCATTTTGTATATTTGATATGTTCCAATATAATCAAACAACCCAAATTATGCTGAGCTAATGCCTCTGAGTAAAACAATAACCCCAATGTTTGCCTTTGGAAGTATTTCGTGAAGCTACAGTGCCATATAGGAGACCTGACTATTTCAGTTTTTACAGTAGAATTTTGAGGGATGAATTTCATAGGTTTATGTTTCATTTTGGGGTCTAATAGTAGATTGCTTATTCAAACTTCCACCACAAAGCCTAAATTTTTTAAAGAAGACACCCCATGGTATTTCCAAAGGCCCATTTTGAATATTAGCGTGGGATAATTTTTTCACTAGTTATTACCAAGTCTAGAAGTAGTAAGCATTTTCTCTGCCTTTTTGACACACACTTTGAGATTATACTGCATAGTTTGCAATCCTCAGGTGTGCTACGGCAGTATAACACTTCATATGTTGCTCAGCTAGGTCATCTGACTACAGCAATAAACATGGGTGTACTTTCCCCAGGTATATGTGGATGTTGAAGGGGAAAATTTGAGACTTGGCCATTTCAGGTTTTTTTCAAACTTTGAATTTTTACGCTTGGTCCATGTCCCATTTTGGGTCAAACTCTGAGGCACTGTTTGTCCCCTCTGAATCAGCTGTCAGAATTCTCTAAGCCTCTGTGGCACTGAACCTCCTATGCATTTAGAACTTTTTACACAAGAACTTTAACAAAACAATGCTATAATATTGTTTTTTTATTTGTTTTTTTTCAGGGGGGATTTTTTAATTTGTATTTTTACATCTAGCATATGCACTAAACCTCCCAATTTCCAATGAACTATCATGCACTCCAATTAACTAAAGAATTTATTGGCCATGAGTATGAAATAATTTAAAGCAGTTCCCAATTCAAAGGCCAGGTTGAGAGGGACAATCAGAGCAGTATAAGCTGGTCTCTTTTCGAATGCCCCTCTGGTAATGCACCCTGCACCTTTTTTGGGAGGTCTTTTTTGGCGGGGTTGGTGGTATCCGAAAGCAGAAGAGACCTGTCGGAATACCTCTGCTGCTAGCCCCTGTTGATGGCTCCCCACTGTGTCACTCAGTGAGCAGCACAGAAATGAGCTGAAACTGAAATGTAAGAAAATTAAATTTCAGCTAAGGATTCAGCTAAGGATTTGCCTTTTTGAAAATCATGAATGCATTGTGAGTAGCCATTTGCATTAAATAAATGCCCACTTTCTTATACCAGCATTTTTTGGAGGGGTATGCTATTATAATAATTGTCAATGTAGAGGTGGTACCCATTGTTCAGTAGT